AGTCCTAGATATTTTTCGTGTCCATCGACAGCCTTAAAAGTTAACTTCATCTGACGCGTATCTTTCTTCTCACGATTAGTGTTTCGGCTAAAGGACACTTCCGACTTCTCCATATTCAATTTTTGACCCGACGCTAGCTCATAGGTAGAAAGTATATATATCAGTAACTCTATCGACTTCTTCTTCATTAGCCCGGATAAAAAGGAGATTATCATCCGCAAAAAATAGATGAGAAATTGGTTCACCATGTCCACCAATATTTATACCATGGATAATCTGTCTTTTCTTAGCATCACAAAGAAGGGTTGATAACCCTTCAGCACACATAATAAAAAGAAAAGGGGATGAGGGATCACCTTGGCGTAATCCCCTACTCGATCTGAAACAACGGGAAGGTTGGCCACCCACCAAAATATCAAAAGAAGCAGTAGAAACACACTTCATAAAATTGTTCAAAAAAAGCTCCGGAAAGCCAAATTTTCTCATCATTTTTTCCAGAAAATCCCATTCTACTCTATCGTAGCCTTTGCACATATCAAATTTCAATCCCAGATAGCCCTTCTTTCCAGTCTTCTTTTTTTCTCAAAAAATGGAAACATTCATACGCTACCAAAATATTGTCTGTAATTAATCAACCCGGTACAAACCCACTTTTAGATTCGCTAATGTAGACACCCATTTGTGTGTCCCCAAAACCAAACCCGGTGATGAGTGCCTTTCGCGTCGAATCATAATCGAATTAAGTGAAAGTGTGGAAAGTTTAGTGTTGCGGATAGTTTTAATTTCTTTTCTCTTCTCTCTGTTTTTGAAAACTTATTTTAAGAAAAATAGCCAATCCAGTTTGGTTGGTCCATTATATGGGTCCGATAGTAGTGTATTTGAATGGGGCTTGACAAGAGCTTTCCAACGATATATTATAAGCCCAATTCCGATGAATATTGAGGAAATTATGGCCAATTTACTCACCTGGGCCCGGTTTGAGCCTTATATGCGGCCCAATGATCTAGGGGAGGGCCTAATATAGATTTTATCATTCCTAATGCAATTAGGAATGATTTTAGTCTTCTAGATTCTTCTAGAAGGTTCTTTTCATTCCTAATTCAATTAGCATTGATAAATTGACTTCTGTTAACTTTTCAGAGTTTTAATTAAAATCAAAGAACTTTTTTGAGGAAAGATACGATTTTAACCTCTTGTACGGAAATTTCTATCTGATTTTAAGAAAACGCGTGAATTTCTGAATCAGCGCCAAACGCCAGCTGTAGCGCCTGGCGCTACGTTTTGCGCCTGGCGCTAATGTTGGCGTCTGGCGCCAATAGCCAGCCTTAGCGCTAATTCAGTTTTATCTACGCCAGAATTCGGTTTTGATATTTTATCTTTTTGGCTGATTTTCTTTATAAATAACGTCGTAAAAACTCTGTTTTGATCATCAACCAATTCACAATCACCTACAATCACCGATTCTCTCTATTTTCACCAACTCTCATCAAGTTTTTCTTGATTACTTTCTCTCTCTCTTTTTTTCTAAACTAGCCTTCTCTCAAATATAAAAATTCCGCATTCATTAGATCTAGATACACCTAGCCATATTCGAAGTTGCCTTCGCCCTAGACGTGAAAGGTTTAATTTCTGAGGGTTTGGTCCCAAATCTTTATTTTAATTATTTAATTTAATTGTTGTTTTGTTTATTATTTTCCTTGAAGTTACTAACGTGTGTATTTTGTTATTAGAAAGAGGTACGAGGCATCCAAGTAAGTGTTTTAATTGACTTATTGTTATTATGATATAGAAATCATACTTAGGTTGTTATTATGATTCCTAGTGTTATGTTAGGGTGTTTTGATCTTCCTAGTATCATGTCTAGGGTAACTTTAATATCAAGTATGATTAAAAGTATGATGCTTCCTATTTTCTTTCCTAATATTCATGTTAGTATCATGTTAGGGCTAAAGCTTTGATCTTTATTGTTTAGTGACATGCTAGGGTTTGTTATTAATCTTGTTAGTATCATGCCCAGGATCTTGCTATTATTATGCTTTAACATGATTTATGATTATTAATTATGATTATGATTATTTTTATGATTCATGATTATGGTTATGAATATTATTATTATTATAATTTTATGATTATAATTTATTGATGATTATTATTATGTTGCTTGATATTTATTGTTATTGCTTGATCACGCCTTTTATGCATGTTTAAAGGGAATTGGTACTTGTAATCACGCTTATATAAGATATTTAATAATCTTGTTTAGGGTTAATTTGATTATAATTCAAGTGATCGCCAATAATATATTTATTTATTCATTAATATTCAACCAACATAGATAAACATGTTTAGGTTAATCCTCTTGATTGCATGTTAGTCGGAAAGTGCACAAGAATACGATCAGAATAAAGTAGAGGTCTATTATTAGGGTTGGTTCAATCTCTTTTAGGTTGGATTTGTACCCTCATCCCCGAACCCTATTTGGTTCAAGACCTTATGGAGTTGACGATCTCTTGGATCGTTAAGGGGTGTAACCTTAACCTTGTGAACGGCTTACAAGTTCCTAAAACTTTTTGGCGACTCTTTTGCTCTATCTTCTTTCCCTTTGGACGCCACCGTACTTTAGTGTATGATCACAGTGGGGTTCAAGCTAGAGGATTAACGCTTAAAATATTCCCTACAGCTAATAATAGAAGGTAACACATTTTTTAGTCTGTTTGCTAGCACTTTTGCAACTATTTTATACACTACATTACACAAACTAATAGGTCTATAATCTACAGGAGACTCACATTCTTTTTTTTTTGGAATTAAAACTACATGAGTCCGATTAATAGAGCCTATATCACCTCTATTATTAAGCATATTGAGAGTAGAGCTGTACAGAGTGCGGTCTAGACCGCACCAAACCGCAATTTTGCGGTTTGGTGCAGTTTGCGGTTTGAAAATTGCGGTGCGGTTTTCAAATTTGGTCAAACCGCGGTTTTATGGTTTGGTGCGGTTTGAAAAAAATTTCAAACCAAACCGCATCGCAAACTGCAATTTAGTAAACCATAATTAAAATCAATGTTATAATATACGAAGTATAGTTTTATAAACAAATAAAACTACTAGGCAGTCCAAGTTCAGAAGGTATTTCCAACTTATTTACTTTTGATATTTTGACATCTAGATGTCAAGTGCAAAAGGTATATCAAGTTCTGTGGGAACACCTCTTGCCGAAGATGATAATGAGGAAGGATTCCTTGAGTAAGATGAAAATCACAAAATAAAACTACTATTTTTTAATTATCATTTGTGAGTTAAAAAAATTGGGAAAAAACCGCAAACCGCACCGCACCAAACCGTATTTTGCGGTGCGGTTTGGTGCAGTTTTGATAGAACTGCGGTTTGAAAAAAATCACAAACCACAATTTTGCGGTTTGGTGCGGTTTGAGATCCAAACCACACCAAACCGCACCATGCACAACCCTAATTGAGAGTAAAATTAATCACATCTTCACCAACAACATTCCAGAATTTTTGAAAAAAGATTGCGGACATATTATCGGGACGGGGTGCCATGGTGGGATGCATTTTGAAGAGTGCCTCATGAACCTCTTCACCTTTAAAAGGAACCGCCAGATCATCATATTGCAAGTCTGAGATCCTCGTATCCACTTTATCAATAACAGCTTCGGTCTCCCCTTGACCCCCAGACGCAAACAACTCCTCGAAATGAGCCACAAACACTTCTTCTATTTTCTCTTCTTCGTCATAAACGAAACCCGCTCTATCTTTGATTTTTCGAATGTGGTTTCTCTCCTTTCGTTGACTAGCTTTCTGATGAAAAAAGGTTGTATTTCTATCCCTACTTATAAGACAGTCCTGTCTGCTTCTTTGTCTCCAAAACAAGTTTTCTCTACTTTCCAGTTCATCCATTCTATCATCAAGGGCTCTCATTTGTGCAATTATATCATCAATTTGATCTTCCTTCATCAAAATCTCCATTCGAGCTCTACAATCACTCAACTCCTTAATAAGATCACCAAATTTATTCCGGCTCCACGCACTCAAGTTCAAAGAAGTATGAGCAATTTTTGAGCATAAATCGCCCCCCATCCCATGCATTAGCAACAATGTCTCCACACGACTCATCCCTTAACCAAATTTCCTCAAATCTATATTTTTTCCTCTTTTTTTCTTTCCCACCCCCTCATTGATGCACAACAAAATTGGGAGATGATAAGTCAGCTTTCACAAATGAGCCCGAGAACATCTCTCTCCATTCTCTATTAGCCAAAAATCGGTCTAGTCACTCTTGAACATTTCTCTCCCCTCCTCTATTATTAGTCCATGTAAAAGCATGTCCAATGAAACCTACATCTTCAAGTTCACAGACGTCTACTACCCTCCTTAAAATATCAGCCTCCATCAAATTAAAATCCCTTCCTCCTTTTTTTTCACTAGACATGAGCATCAGGTTAAGGTCACCTCAACACACCCACGGTCCACCAAAATTGTTGTGAAGATTTTCAAGAAGTGAGCCTGTCATGTGTTTATTTTCGTCTTCAGGGATGCCGTACAAACCTGTGAATCTCCACCCTTCATTCGGCCTTAACTTCACCCATGAGTCAATATGATTCAAGGAGTACGATAAAGTTTCAACATCAATCGTATTTTTCCACAACAGAGCTAGATCTCCACTTCACTTTATTTTATTTTTTATTTTCTCCATCTCGTGACTCTTCAATTTTGTTTCCGGCAAGAACATGATTTGGGGTTTTTCAAGAAAAGCAACATTTTTTAACGCATTCACGGCCGAGGTGTTCCCCAAACCTCTACAACTCCAACATAAGATGTAACTCATTGATCACCGAGAGCCCAAGGAGTGGGGCCCGCCACATTTTGTTCAGGGATTTCAATCTTGTGTTTTTTTTATTTTGGTCTACAACATTGTCATCATCCACCACCATCTCATCCTCTTCCTCACTTCTTCCCTACTGCCCCTTTTATTCCCAGCCACCTTCTTATCCTCCACCTCCCTTTTTTTTTCTCCTCTAAGGATCATAACACTCCTAAGCTTTCTTTCCTTCCCAACAGAAGAGTTGATTTTATCCACCCCCCCCTACAATTTCTCCTTCTATTTTTTGCTCACCCCCCACCAAAGTAACAATTTTATTTCTGACATGTTATTTTTCTCCCTTTTACCTCACTCTCCTTCCTTTTATCGTCCTCCCTTATTTCATCCATATCACCCTCTGACCGGAGCACACTTAAACCTTCCCCCTCCGCAATCAATTCCCTCCTAGCAGTCCTTAAGACCTCTTATCCTCACTACCACTAGCCACCTTCTGTAGTACGACTTCCCTGCTTTGCGGAGACCATATAATGCCTCTATCATTGTAAAATTTAGGTGAGGCAAAAATTAATTTTCTTGCTACTCCAATAGGCCCAAGCTTCACCACATTGTCATCATTATAGGATGGTGTTTTCTGTTCTTTGCTGAAAACTATAGTCTTTCCATCCAGGATTTCTCAAGCTCTCTTTCAGCTATATCGACTTTTTTCTTCTTCATTGGTGATGCCCGCAACCATAGTCCATATTGATAGACCATTTTTGATTCATCAGTCTCAACTTGTTCTTTGTATTGGCATTCTTTTTCAGTGTGATCCAACCTTCCACAAAAGAAACAGAAATCGACCAATCTCTCGTATTTTATATCAATCCATTGAGGTTGCTTATTGCCAGTAGCCAAAAGTCCCTTTCTCAACGACTTATTGATGTCAACTTGAATCTTTATTCTCATACATTCAGCCCAACCCAGAGGGTCTGAGTCGTCTACTTCCAGAAATCCGCCAAGAAATTCTCCAACGTTGTACAATTCCTCCAAGGATCGCTTGTTAAAGGGGGCATCCAACAAACGCACCCACACAGGGGTGTATTTGAAAAGTATTTTCGAGGGCTGTTCATCTCAAACTTCTTGTAAGAGCAGCAGTTTTTCGTCAAAAACCCACGGCCTGCCTTCTAGGACCCTTCGTTTATCCTCTTCACAGAAGAATTGAAACACAAACAAATTCCATTCCACAACCCTAATTTCAAATTTCTCCTTCAATCTTCATACATTCATTAGGGTTCTTTTCATCGCCTCCATATTATATGGCTTAACAGTCCATAGTTTACTCACCAAGGTGAGATTCAATTTATTTTTAGTATCATCGTTGACAATTTCTACATAATCACCTCCTAGCACAACTCCTTCGTCATCTGTTAAACGTAATTTTTCCCAATCCTTCAACAAATCGTTCTCCATTCTTGGCAAATAGAGTAAAAATTCGACAAAGATTCGATCAGATGGCTATGAAATTGTGAGCATATTGGTTGAGAAACAGGGGTTTACACCAGACGCACTCACAAATCCTAGCACGAGACTAACTCACCCTGCAGAGGGACTTTTTTTGTAAAATATTATTGTATTTAATTTCAAGGTAATTTTTTCATTTAATATTTAAACATAACCCGAAACATCACCCGGGTCCTAAACTAGATTATGTAATAACTAAACCTTTGTATGCTCTCTACCCATACAAGTCTTCACACAAGTTGCGAGTTATATATTTGTAATGTACGGGTCCATCTTTACCCAAGCGGCCAAACCACATAATGATCGATTTTGATGGTGTCGAACTTAGCGAGTTTGACCCCCAATGCACGGGCGCATGGGCATGGGGGCATTAACTAGGCTACAAAATGGCGTTACTTATACTCAATGCGCTTTCTTTTTTCAAACACCGATCTGTTTAAACTTTAAACCCAACTGTCAATGAATCGTATGAACTAACAAACATGAATTCCCTTTCTTTGTACCTGCTTTCATTCATCACTATCACTCTTACTTTCTTCTGTTTCATCGACCTCGCCTTTGCTCTCACCTCTGAAATCCCAGGTAAAATCTTTCCCTTTTTTTTTAAAATTTAATTTATAATTATGGGTTCGTTTCAATTGGAGTACTTTTTGTTTTTGCACTAGTATAGAAATATATGAAATGGGCAATTGTAAACTGTGAATTAAGATAAACATGATCCCAGAATTTGAATTTGTAAAAAGGGGTGAATTAAGTTTGATGGGCAATTTTTTCTATTATTTTTAATTATTTATGAACTGGGTTTTGATTTTTCAAATTTCAAATTTGATTAGGTAGGAGATTGTTGGATGATGAGTCCTCTAAACCCAGGTAATTTGAAGTATCATAGTTATTTTTTCTTCTGATTTTGAATATTTACTGTGTGATTTGGTTGTAATTTTGATTGATGTTTTTTTTTTTTTTTTTTTTTTTTTTTTTTTTTTTTTTTTTGCTGCACTATGTCACTGTTATCAATAATAAAGAGAGAATTTTTATTTTGTATTTATTTTATTTATATTTATGTAGGATTGATGTAACTAAAGGGTACATGAGTAATGAAGATTTAGAGAATGCTATTATGGCATTTGGTGAAAGGTGCAGTAACATTTCAAGGATATACAGGTTATTGATCGGCCTTTTTCCGCATTGATTTCTTTGTATTTTGTATTGTACATGATTGAAATTGAAACAATTTAACTATAATTATAATTTAAGTAATGATTCTCTCATGTACAGGGGAAAATAAATTTTTTTGAACTAAGTCTATTTTTCGCCAAATCATTTTGGGACTAAGGCTTTGTTGTTGTTGTAAATCTTTTTTCGGCTTTTTTTATTCAACCCAAAGTTGATTTCACTGACTTGAAATTATTCTCTCCTTGAGGGATTTTACATATTGCTGCTCAGTATTGGAAGGAGTGTCAATGGATTTCCACTGGTAGTTTTCTCTCTTGAATTGGTTTTGTTCTGTAGTGTGTTTAGCATTGACTAATGCCTGGTTGATTTGGTTGCATACAGTGGGTGATGGAAATTTCTGATAAACCAGAAAGCGAAGAGCCTGAACCTGCATTTAAGGTGAGTTGTCTATGTTTAGAAAGAGAGTTTTAAATGGAAGGTGGTCTTTCTGCTTGCAGTCAACAATAGTTGGTGCACCTATCAAATGCATTGAATAGCATGCAAGATGAGGGAAGGTGTATCTTTTTAACTTGCTAATTTGTTGACCTGTGATGTCGTTGATTCAGTTCATTGGAAATGTTCATGGAGATGAACCTGTTGGACGTGAGCTTCTAATACGTCTTGCAAATTGGCTCTGTGATAATCATGTGAAGGATCCACTGGTATTTCTCCTTACATTCTGGGGTAGGCAGTTATTCGACTTTTTATCTTTGCTTTCTATTTGACTGTGTATTTTTCCAAAAATATGCTGTTGCTGTGATAAATTTTGCTAGGTAAACAGTTCATTTAGATTATACGGAGTCATTAAAATGAAGCCTTACATAACTGAAAGATCCTTGGAAAATTCTTAGAAGAGCAACACCAATTGTATGTAGGGTAGTAAGGAACACCTTTTCTAACCCACAAATCCTATCTTACATCCAAATCCAGCTATTTGTTTTTAACAATAATACGCTTAGAACGCCCAGACAAGCTCCTGCCTGTAAATATATTCTCTTGAATTTCTCCCGTTGATCTCTCATAAGAGGTGTATTAATGTAATGAAAAAAATGGTGAGGTCAAACCTACTAATTCCATACAATCTTCCCCAATAATATGCAATCACTTCACAATGCAAGAAAAGAAAAGTCTTTACCTACAAATTTTGATTGCACGATATACATACAAACAGGTTTTTAAGTCTGCAGGTCATCAATAATGTTAATCCTCCCTTAGTAGATTTGATCTGTTCTGAAAATATCTGAGATTTTGCCCCACAAATGCAAATGAAATGCATGTGAAATTTTCTCTGAGTGATTTTAGACAACATTTCCAAGTAAATGAGCCAGAAAAATACCCCTACCACATTTTACTTGATGAATGTCTCCTACTTTGAAATTCTAAAGAGGATGTACCTATATTCAAGAAGGAAATCTGGTGTTAAAGGGAAGGGAAAGAGACACATAGACCCTGCTTCCTACTTCAGTCTCCTTCTAAGAGCTGTCATCTAGTTGGGTAATATACTGTCTTAATTTGAGATTTTATTGGCAGTTGAGCTTACAAAAGAGTAATTGGTGAAGGAAATTAAACCAAATCTGGAGGCTTAAAGGAGAAATGATATGTCAATCAAAGCTGGTGATAGAAAACAGAGTCTTCCTTTAAGTTTCTGTGGGTTTATGATAATCAATTGTAGCCAATTTTAGGAATTAAAAAGTGCATGATGTTTCTGTGTAATACTAAGACGCGTATAGTGCAATATGGCAATCTATTTTTGACCTTATGTGACTTTCACATGTATAAATCATGCACAAAAAGAGATGGTAATTATCTATTCAGGAGAAAAATAAGTTAAAATTTTGGGTGAAATATAGATTGAGACGTGAGGTTGATTATAGGTTTAGAAAATTTAGATTGAGGTATGTGAAATTGGTTAAGAGTGAGATGTGTAAAGCTGACTGTTGTTGAATTAAGAGATGGAGAGGTTAGAAAGAGAGATTGGGTCTCTCCTCTTGTACAGCTCCTACTTAAATAGTTCATCCCCACATGTAGAGAAACTCCGTGATAAATCTGGATGTACTATGCAAATAGTACATACCCTTGTTTTTTTGCTCATTTGGAGCTCTCTCAAATGAGACAATAGAAAGGCGTAGGTTTAGATGTACTGTACATCTGGATGCACAATGGAAATCGCCCTGCAGTAAGTTGCTGGAATGTGGACTACGAATGACAGTTTTTTTGCCCATGGATCAGGTGACTGGAAACTTTTTTTGTCACCTTTCTATTTTGAATATCATACTTTTACTTGTCCAGTTCCCATTTCTTATGTCTTCCATTAAGGGTGCCTTGTGAAATTCCCACATCTCACTTGCTATTTTTCATTGAAGAAAGGGAATGAGAGAAAAAGTTCTACATTTTCAGATCCTTTCTCTTTTAATATATATAAACATGAAATTTAAATGTGAGTGGATGAAAAGAGGTAAACAAGACATCCTCTTAAAGTGACAAAGTCTACGAGCAAAAACTTTATGTGATACTTGTGTGTTATTTTTATATATGTACCTTGCCAGCCAATACACAATAGAGAAAATGAATAATGAATAGTTTGAAAATTCACGAGATTTTTGTGTTTTCAGGCAACATTTATTGTAAAAAATGTACACCTTCATATACTACCATCAATGAACCCAGATGGATATGCTCTTAGAAAAAGAGGGAATGCCAAGAATATTGATTTGAATCGAGATTTTCCTGATCAGGTATGTTTTTGTTTGCCTTTTTCATCCTCATTATTGGGTTTGGAGTATGGACAGTTAGAGTTTTTTTTTTAAAAAGAACACCATGCTAAATATGTTTCTAAGAGTCACAAAAGTAATTTGTCTGAGAGTGAGGGGTAGCTTAAGTGGTTAGAGCTTCCCTCCCGGTTCCAAGAGATCTTGGGATCGATTCTCACCCCCGACCTTGTGGCTCTCTAAACACCAAAAAAAAAAAACAAAAAAAAAACAAAAGTAATTTGTCTCACATTGGTTGTCATTATTCCTGTCAAATTTGACAAAATCTTTTTGGGGTGTGCATTGCTGTTATTTCAGGTAGAATCAACAGTGCTTTTTTCTTTTTTTCCTGCCCTAAGTGATGCTTGCATGTCAATGTTCAGTCCCCTGCTCTTTGCCTAGCATCCTGTACTTATTTGTTAGCTATGAACCTATGTTTACTACAGATAATCACAAGATACATGTATCTTTTTCATGAATAGTTTCCAGAAATCGAATGTCTTGCTTTCTTGTCTTTTTGCACAAGGACATAGAAGCAGTGTTTTTTTTGGGGGTAATTTTTTGTTAACCAGAATTTTTGGTCTTCAAGGATATATGCTGTCTTGCAACTTTATTTAGGAAGATAGTCAAATATATTGATTTTAGAAAACAAGAAGTTTCAGAATTTCATGATAGTTATATAGCCATTGCGGTTTGATTTGGATGTTAGACGCACCTACCTTATTCATATTTTCCCTTTTAAATAATAAATAAAGGGTCTTTTCAGAATATAGATAGACTTTGTGATTTGAAAACAACTTGAAGGAAAGATGTGTTTTTCAAGATCCATCTTGAACCAGTTTATATTTGTCTTTTCTTATGGAGCTACTGATAATGGATTTTTATGGTTAACATGGCATATTAGTTTTTTGCTATCAATGACTTGGAGGATGCAAGGCAACCTGAAACAAAAGCAATTATGCGGTGGTTGAGAAGGATACAGTTTACAGCCTCTGCCAGTTTGCATGGGGTAGTTCCTTCTTGCCTCTTGTTTCTATAAATTCTGTCCATAGTATCCTACTCTGGCGTGATCATTTATCATTGAAAAAAAAAGAATTATGTATTTAATCTCCCTGTTGAAAAGCTGAATGTTTATACCGCAGTTGTTCCAAATAAATTACCATTAATAATTGTATGTTCATCTCTCTGTCGACTTATGGATATAGACTAGAATTCAAAAGTTGTACCTTTATTTCTCAGTTGGTCTATGGTTATAAAATTTTGTGAAGAGTTTGAAAAAGGTGTACATGTTCTATTCTCAGTCGATCTAGGGATATTGATTATAATTGGAAGAATGGATTATATCATGAATTGATAGGTCTTTATAAGGTTTATGAAATTTGATTATTGCTTAACATTTGATAAGAGACGAGCAATAAAAGTTAAGAACCTTCTGGTTAAGAAAAGGAAGGTAAAGGGTCTTGTGTCGAAAACTAGTTTTAATTTGTCATTAGTTCTTTGTTTGTTTCAAATTTTATTTAAAGTCTCAAATCTGTCATTTCCAGTTCCCGATAGACCCTGTCAAATTGACATAGTGTGAAATAATTAGGTATGTATTTATGGCATGCTTCTGTGTTGGCTTGGCTCTGATTAGCAAAATATTAAGATTTTAACCATTTTATTAGGTGTAAAGTACTGCATCACTTCTGACTTTCTGAGAGTTGATGAAGTGCAGATTGTTGGTTTTTTTACTTCAATCCTAGAGTTGATACCGAGCTTCTTAGAACTAAATTATGTCCAACATCTCCTGGCATGTCGTTCTCTTTCACTATGTGTTGTGCCTGTCTCCCCTTGCAGGCCTTTTCATTGTTACCAACAATGCCACTTCATGTTTCATTTTAAATGTTATTATTTTTTATTAGTTTTGATGTTAATAGATTTGGGCCTCAAATTGTTGAAAACTATTAAGAAATGACCTAATTCTGGTTTGCTACTGAACTCAAAATTTTGTGACACATACTCACATGTGCTCACTAAAGGTTGGAATTCGTTAATGGGGGATGGTGCTGCTGCTTATCAGAATATTATATGTGGCTTGCTGGATGATTGATTACAGTAGGGTTTGTTTAGCATCACTGTGGTTTTCTGTTTTTTGGTTTTTGTTTTTTCAAATCATATGATATATGTCATATAATGAATTAAAATTAGTCAAACTTATTAAAATCATAATAATTTCGAAAATTGACAACAGAAAAGTGGAAACACATTTTTCTTATTTTCTGTTTTTGGTTTTTTTGTTTTGAAAAAAACAGAAAACAAAAAACGTTGCCAAACAAGTCCGTAGTGGTTTGATGTATGATTTACCTTGATTTTGCAGGGTGCTCTTGTTGCAAATTATCCTTGGGATGGCACTCAGGATAAAAGGTATAATATTTTCTAAAATCCTTTACTTGTATTTTAGCACTGCTTGTATGTTTAGAGAGAGAACCATAGCACCATATGACCTACTTGTGTGTTAAGTGAACCATAGAAAACCTGCTTGTGTGGTTTTAATTTCTGCAGTGAGCCAGTTAGACATCTTTCAGAAACCCTAGAGTACCCGATTCATCCATTTTATTCTGCAATGAGTAGCTTGATCTCATTTATAGATTGCTGTTTTGTTATTTATAGATGTACCTTCATGTGGCAAGGTGGTACTTTCTAGATAGATTAAGGGTCAATCTGTAATTGAATAATGATTGGATGATTAAGGATAATGAGCTGGACTATAATAAACTTGACCCTTAAGAAGGGTATTTTCTCCATTAATTGTGATTGGGCTTAGGAGATGGGCTAATATCATTAAGGGTCAAACACTAACCAAACGATCCAAATGTTCGGCCATCCATCTTTTAAGCGATGAAGAAGCCAAAGACAATGATGATGCATAGACTATTAGGGCTTTCAAAAACAAATAATTATCTTGTTATAATTTAGTTAATTGCTTATATTAATGGTATTTTTTTTTGTAAATTATTATTTTTCTATAACCTCATGCTAAATGTTATCCTAAATGAATGAAAGCAATTCTTACACAAAATTAGGATTTAGCATACTAAATTTCAAGGTTTACAAATTAAGGGGGACATTTGTAATACTAAGAATTATTTAGTTGACTTTTTAGAATGCAATTTGGGCTAAAATGGCAATAAAGTGGATCAAAAGCCACATTAAATTACTATTAAAAGCCAAAGAAAGACAAACAACACAATTTGTAACAAGGCACATGCCAAACATACAAGAATTTAGGTGTCATTTGGTTGACTAAAAAAAAACAATAGGAATTGAAATTCTTTTAGGGAAGTAGAAATTCCTAGGATATTCCATACAAAATGAATGAACTTAATTACGTAAGGAGACCTAGGTAAATGTATATTCTCATGGTTAATGATTAACCAAACAACTAGCATTTCCTTGGAAATCCAATTACAAGGGAATATAATTCTCTAAGAAATTTGCGATTCCTACATTCAATCAACAAGACATCAATTAAGAGAGGATAGTGCCAAAATTTATTTGGACGTGGTTAGAAGATCCTCAATTTCTAGAGTTAAGTATAATAATGGGGTTTTTGGGACCTAGAGTCACTTTTCCGGCCAAATACTAATCAAAGGTGAGTTAAGAAGATAGTCCCTTAGTTAAAAAGATAGTGCCCTATTAATATTAAAATTATTATTGATCTTTATACATATTTTTTTCCATCAAACATATAATTTACATATAAGTAAAAATAAAAACCACAATTGGATTTCCTTATTAGGGACCAATTACTTTTCTATTTGGATGGAAATATTAATTGCTGAAAGCCTAAAATATATGTATTTTATTATACTAACAACAATCATTCTTTAAGAAAAAAATATGATACTAACATAATCAAATACTAACATTATTAAAAATGATAAACATTGAGTATGACCTTATTAAAATACTAACATAGTCAAATATTAAATATGTATTTATGTTAGTATTTGATTATTGTTTAAATTAATGTTGAAGTCACACATAAAAAGTAAGTAATTCGTAGGTAAAATATACAAAATCTACAAGTAGAGAGTATCATGCAACGTAAAAAAACATAATCCCTTAGTTAAAAACTCAGTCCCTTAATTTATTTATATCCATTTCAGATTTTTAAGGACTAACTGACTAAGAATCTATGTTTTTTGGAAATTTGGCAAGTAATTAATGGGAAGGAACCTATGTTTTTACTCTGGTGGGTTAAAGTGTAGTTAGTTGGCCGGATTATCAACCCTAGGTCCTAAAAGGTGAAAAAAAAAAACATTGAGGTTCCAAAAGGTGAAAAATCTAAAAACTTAGTCCCCATCTTTATACTTAAGTCCAATTTCTATTAGTAGTGGCAAGCAAAATGAACATTAACCAAAAAGATACAACGATTGCTCTTTTGTAGTATTCTTTATTGTTTTTCTTAGCCTCCTCTTGGCTTAGTAAGCAGGCCTTAGTTTAGTAGGTTTTAGTGAATAACAATTGAAGAATCAACTTTCCAATTTCTTGTAACCGGGTAATTTTCCTCTCTCGTTGAATGCAATTGTGAGCCTGATTTCTTTGTTTTTCTCAATGACTATCACCGGTTTAATAATTTTGTTTGATTATGCTTATGAATATAGAACTCCATCCGTTTTTTAAGTGACATGGTAGCTTCCGCACAGAGTTTTAAGAGAAATGTATAGAGTGTAGGGTGATTTGTTGAAGAATTTATTATTAGGCTGTGATTTGAAAGTAATAGTAAAGATTGTAAAAGTGAGGATCATGAGAATTGAGAATAAATAAATAAATAATGTAAGATGAAGTAGTGGGAACCAAAAGAAAGAAATAACTAAAATTAGTATGACTTTTCTTTAAAAAGAAATTGTTTGGTCTAAAAAACCGAAGGTTTAAGGGTAGTGTCACTTAAAAATCAAATGGAGTAACTGCTTTTATTTTATGTAAAAGTTCATAAGGTCACTTAACTGGCAATAGACAACTTTAAGAGCAGTTCGAGCACCCTAGATCCACTTGATAGGGTACTACTGGTTTGTTTGTCATTGACTAACGATCATGGTTTAAAAATGCGGATGCACTGTATCAATGCGAGCGAATTATAACGGTTTTCAAGTTTATTGTAACGAGATATCATAATTTGTTATGGTGCAAAATAATTAACCGCAATATTGGTCTTTACATCTGATAAATAAATTTTACTCAGTTGAGATAAACAGCTACAATTTCTTGACTCACGATTTTTCCACATGACTCTACTGGAAACCAAAAAAAAAGAATAAATATGTGAGAGTAGAGAGAAAGAAACTGGTAATGATGTCTGAGTGTGGTAGGTGAAGCCGTGAAGGTGAGGGGTAGGGAAAGTGGGTGTGAGACAACTGTCTTTTTTTTCTTTTATTTATATATTTACTTTTTAAAGAGGCAACTTAACCAACCGTTCGAATTCCCACATGTTTAAAATTTTAGTGTTATCCTTTCTTATTCGAATTTCCACATGTTTGGCACATTTTTTGTTACATTTTGGGTTGCCTATCTTTTTTCCGGCTTATATGGTCAGCAGGTAATGTCATGTGGCTTTTGATCCACTTTGTTGTCATTTTAGCATAAATTGTGTTATAAAAAGTCAACCGAATAACTTTTAGTGTAATAATGTAATATTGTAAGATATAGTGAGAATGATATTAGCATTCGAAAGTCGTCTAATATTGTGAGTCTAGTATTAGGGAACTTACATAACGTGGTCTAATGTGATTAGGGAATGTCATTGTTAGGGGTATGATGGATGGCACTTTAGGAAGTCTAGTGTTGCTATGTTATGTGGTGTGTGTTTGTATAAATATGTGATTGATTAATGATAATTACTTGTGACGAATATTGTAACCTTGTATTGGTTTCCAAAAGTCTTTTTGTGAATCTAACAAGATGTCATTTGATCTGCATGGAAATATGTGGAATTGGTCTTCATTTGTTTAAATGTTTCTTAAATTTGAAGCATTTTATTCTTTCCTTTGCATGGACAGTGTAGTTTTCTTATCATATTCGTCAGCATCTTGTTATTCTTATGTTCAAAAGTTAAGATTTATCTGCATAATCTTCGCTTTCGATCTTGAGCCAACTTTTGTTTAAGTTTTGGGCTTGTACTCATTAATTTAATTATTATTCAGAAAGGAATACTACGCAACCCCTGATGATGAAACATTTCAGCTTTTGGCTAGTCTGTATAGTCAATCTCACTATAACATGTCTACAAGCAAAGAGTTTCCTGGAGGTATAACCAATGGAGCAGCTTGGTGAGCCTTTGTTTAACTTCTTAAGCTAGTGGATCACATCTGCTGATTTTTTATCAGCATTTTTAGTCTTATATATACATGTGAAATTTAACCATTTAACGAAACCACAATGAAGGTATCCCATCTATGGAGGCATGCAAGATTGGAACTATATACATGCTGGTTGTTTTGAGTTGACATTGGAAATAAGTGACAATAAATGGCCTAATGCTAGTGAGGTTAGCTATTATTTTTTTACCTTCTATGTGTGGTTTTTCTATGCACTTAAAGTATTGTTTTTATATATATTTTTTAAAGATTTTTATCATAAAAAAATTTATTTTGTTTTTATGTAATTTTCTTTCCATATATTTTTTATATTCTTGTATAATCAGCACTACTTTGTAAAATTGGATTCAAGATTTGTGGTGCCTTGATTCTACTTAATAACGATCCTTGATGGTATGTTTGGTTAGTATTAATATATGGTGGTAATAAGAATGAATTTTTATGGTATGCCTTGATTCAAAGAATGAATTTTTATGGTATGCCTTGATTCTACTTCACTTTGATGGTAATGGTAGCTAGCTGATCCTAGCTCCAATTATCTCTTTTTCTTCACAAATTTACATTACCATTTGGGGGTTGTATTGGAAATTTATGAAGACACAAGTTTGGGGATAAGATTACATTATTATGAACATTAGAATGTTATTTAGCTTGCTTACACTTACGGTGTGTTTGGATTGAAGGAAATGGAGGGAAAGGAAGAGAAGAGAAATGGAGAGATGAGATATCTTTCATTTGGATAACAAATGAGGTAGGAAGGGAATTGGAGGGGAGAGAAATGGAGGGATTAAATTGTACTAAATTGATCCCTCCATCAATAGAGAGATTTGGAAGGAAAACTCACCATTCCTCCCTCCCCGACCTTTCCCTCTCCTCCTCTTCTCCTCCCTCCCCTTCTTTTCCTTCTCCTTTCTTTATCCAAACACACTGTTAAATCCATTTATATTGCCGCCGTATTTAACCAGTTACCAGACAGACCGTCAATGATTTTCTACGTATATTTAAGTGCTTTACATTAGATAATATTAGTTACAAGCTTCCTGATCATGTTGGTTTACTCTCTGATGTGCAGCTTCCTACAATTTGGGAGTATAATAAAATGAGCATGTTAAATCTGGTGGCTGCTACTGTGAAGGTATTCTTGATAATTGTTTCATAATGTCTAATCCTTGTCCCATTTCTCATATCCAGTAATTTAACTAACAAGAATTGTCTTATTTGACAGACGGGAGTCCATGGAAGGATTTTTTCATCAGATACTGGGAGGCCATTGCCAGCCTCAATCAATATCAAGGGATTTAATCAGACGGTGAGTTCTTTGCTGACTATTTCTGTAAAAATGTTTTAGACAAAAAAGCTCTAGATTAAAATCTGGAACCTCTCCTTCAACTGCACCTGAATGTTTCCTGAAAACTGTAAAGTTTACCAGTCCTATTTTTTCTTCTTTTTGAGAAAAAAAAAGGGGGGGTGGGAGGGGGGTTCCTTTCTTCCACATCTCGCACTGGTGAGGCTGGGTTGCTTATGTGTAACATTATCAGATTTCGCCAACTGTGGATCCATTAGCCTATTAGGTAATTGTTCGTGATGTTGTGAAGTTCAATTTCAAAATTTTATAAGATTTTCTTCTGAATTCGAGCTTCTGTCTGTTTTTTCAGATTTAACTGTAAATCACATCAAAACAAATTCCTGTCTCACCTATCCTTCTTGTGACAACTGGTCTAATTTGCATGCAGTCTGAATGAATTATCAGAAGTCCCTTGCCCTATGATTTGGAGCATTAGTGACATGTGCTGTTTTGTCTTTTGCGTCTGGCCTCTTTTTATATGTCTATTTGGTAATATAGCTGCAATTATATATTTACGTAATGACTTTGCCTGGATGAAACTCATGTGGTTCTTGCTTTTATAATTCATCGAGTCTGCCCATGACATGTTCGGCCCACTTAAAGTCTCAGAATTTGAAATGGGTGATATGCTTTATAATACCTTTTCTTTTTCTTAATCACAGGTGAAAGCTGGACGTCTATTTGCTGATTACCATCGTTTACTTGTACCAGGGATCAAATATCAAGGTGTTTTGTCTGGAATCTCTTATCTTCCTAGTAATTATGTTTTTCCTGTTATCCACTATTCACATACTCTGCTTTTTTATAATTTTTACTTATTTATCTACGAGTATTAAGCAAATAATGAACAGAGGAATGGCTTCTTTCTGTATCCCTTGTCTATTGGGTTTTTTTTTTTTTTTTTTTTTTTTTTTTTTTTTTTTGGTTGGTGAAGCTACTTAAGTTATACCTTGTTGTTTGTTACAGTCACAGCCTCGAGTCCAGGTTATAAGTCTAAATCGACCACTATCTTTCTCGAGGAGGGAGCCACAACAGCGGACTTTGTTCTTGAACCAGAAATCAGTAGTGTGGGGAAAATAGTAGAAACTGGTTGCCCTTGCTCTGGCAGCAACAAAAATAGGCTTGAAGTGGTTGATATACTTGCTCACCCTCAAATGGAGATTTCTCTCGTCATTGTTGTTGCATTTGCGTTCCTTTTGCTTTTGTACAGAAGAAAACTCTGTTTTAGTCTTCCAAAACATAGACAATCAGCTGGGTCTAAAAGACCGGTTGTTGTATGAACCTCATCTTGCTCTTTTTAATACATTAGGAAACTGTAACCTATGTTAGCACGTTACCATAGCATTGGTTGCCACAGCCATAGAGCATTACCACAGGCAAGGAAAACAGCTTCGAGCAAATTCTGTATAAGCGTAATTGTAGAAATACTTCGTACGTTGTAACTTTTGTATACTAATTTATCATATGTCGTGAGCCAAAGTAGTTCTTCCAATGACATGTAGCAAACCAATTGATTATAAGAATCTCATACGGTATTTGGAATGATTCTCAAATTCAGCAGAAACCAATATTTCTAAGTTGTACAAAAGAGTCGAAATCTTCTTGGCTTTTTAGCAGGCTAAGCCGTACATAGCGATCTTCAGCTTCGAATAATCGACCCCTACGACCGAGGATTCCAGCTTCTTTTAGTACTTGATAACAATCTTCATCTTCTTCTCTCTCGCATTTCAACCATGCATATGCTGCCGTGGTCCAAGATCATTCATAACATCAACAAAAAAAAAAAAATTGTGGTACCTCAGGAGACGTAAAAGTCAAACTGTTGTAATTTTAATAAAACAAAGAAAGTATATGTAGACGAATCAAATTTGAAAGGTGAGAAAATATTACTCCGTACCTGGGGAAGGTTCTCTAACTCGTTGATAGAAAGAGCAGAATTGAGGAGGTATGTGTTGGAGGGAGAAGCGCGATGAATAAGACAAGATTGTGGTTAGTCCTTCCCATCTTTCCTTCATTATTTTGTGTCCAGATTCGAATATTTCTCTTCCACCTTCATCAACGATAGCTTTCAATAGCTTCAATACTCGCAATTTAGTATCATGAGACACACCTATCGTATTATGCATCACATAACTATCCATTTTTTGATGTACAACCTCGTCCTTCACCAATGCCCACCTACATTTCTGAGGAAATTAAAGTGCGGAGTAACTCTTCTTTACTTTCACGTTCTATTTGTTTGATTCATCTCAATGTATGTAGTTTATTTTGGCTTATACAAGAAGTACCTATATACATATACACGAAGTATATGACTATATGAGTGTCAAGGTTCCCTAGTCTTTAACGAGTTTTATCATCATATCACGTACATATGATTTCAAACAATATATCGATTCAAATAAATTAAGAAATTAAGCTAAAACGCGGCTAATATGGATTAGAAGGAGTAGATAACTGTACCCGAATCTGCTGCCAGCATGACCAGTTAGCTTGGAGATGGAGAATAGCATGAGATCTTCAGCAGCTGGGGTTGTAATAGCAGTGTAATGAGGCCAATAATAGACACGATCATGAATAGTCTTAACTGAGGGTCCTGTAAGAACACTCTCTTTAAATTGACCACCTGGATTGTTTGGGGATGTCACAAATTCTATAAATGTAACATTTTCATTGCTTGTTTTGTTCTTCCATAAGGATGTGTCACCTTTAAACTCGTATGCACGAGATTGAAACAACTCAGTTTGGGATTTGTATATTTAAAAGAAAAAAAAATAATAATAATTATAACAGACAGAAGTAAGTGATTAAAAATAAATGATAGATGATGGAACTAAACAAGGGCGGATCCAGAGTTTATTTATAGACCGGGTCGAAGTTATAAAGAATTTCAATTAATAAAGCTATAAAGAAATATGAATATAAAAAATCCACACGGAAAAAAAAAAAAAAAAAGAAAAAAAAAGAGTGCAAACAAGGGGAATTGAACCCTTGATCTTCCTACATCTATATATCAAGTAACTAACCAACTACAAAACTTATACAAAGTATATTTTACACAAAGATTTTTTATTTATATGTATCAAAATCTGGGCATAGGGGGCCAAGGCCCGGGTAGGCCACCCCCTAGATCCGCCTATGGATCTAAAAATAATACGAGTATTTATTAGTGAGGATTATTAGATTAAGATTGACGGATTTCTATTTGGATTACATGAATCATCAATTTTATATCACAATCTTTTAAAAAAACATAATAAAATGTAAGTTTGGGTTGATTGACCATTTGACCCTACAATCTTTAATGTGGCTTCGTCCATCATACATCAACAAACATTATGCTTATGGTATGAATGATCTCATAATTAAAATAATGATATACATAAATAATGCAGGGTACTTGTTAAGTCATTTTTTTCTAATCAAATTGAGGTAGTTTTTTTTTTCCCCCCTCATATAAGTACTATGTAATAATAATCTATAACTTACACTGTTATTATCTATAACCACTTTAATTAAAAGTCAAAAAGTTAAAGAGCAGAAAATAGTGGTACTAGCATGTTCCAAAGTTGTAATATAAGTCTATTGTGGTCTCGAGTGTCTAGACACAACACATAGGATAAATTACACGTGAGCTCTATTTACGAAAGATCAGCACCACACGACTTTTTCTTAATAAGTTTCAAGTAAAGTAATGTGAATATATACCGGGTAAAAAGGGATGGAAGCAACCACAAATGCAGGACTAGAGGAGTTAGAGGAAAGAGCATTCACAGCAGCATTAAGTAGTTGAGTAGAGCCAGTCCCAAATACAACATGCCTTCCTTCAGTTTCTGCATTTCCAACCAACTCATGCACTTTGCGAATGTACTTCTCTAGCTCCGTTGATAGCTTCCGACCGTCGTCGTCGACCGGTATGTATGTATATCCCATTCGATGCCATCCTGATACCAACACTCCACTGCTTTCCTTTTTACTCATCCAGTAAGGCTCCATATACATAGGATTCCCACTGCAAAATATTACACACATAGACATAATAAAGTTACTCCTAGAATGAAAATCTAATAAGTTCATTCAATTAAGGTGTGATTAAGATAAAATAAAGGTTAACAAGCTCTAGTACTATAATATATGGATAATGGATTTGATATAAAAATATATTTTGAATAATATAACAATTAACAAATAATCATTATGACAAACTTACTACTTGATTGGTGTAAATAATATTTTATTTTACTTACCTGAGCTAAGGAAAAGTGTAACTTAAAATAGAGTATACACCAGATACTCCCTCCGTATTTTTTTAAGTGATACATTTTCCATTTCCGGCCGTGTTTTTTTAAGTGATATATTTCCTTTTTTGGCAAAACAATACATTAAAATATTATATCTCTCTCCTCTCATGGCCCCCACCCAAACCCACTACTACTTTTTTATTATATTTTTCCCCTCACATTCATTACTTTTCAATAAACTATTAACCCCACTATCTTTCTTTAACAATTTTTTAATACTCCACTACCCCCACTTACCTCTTATTTTATTTAAGTCAATTAAATTGCCTAAATCTATGTGCCGGTCAATATGTATCACTTAAAAAAACACGGAGGGAGTACCAAAAGTTATACAACTAAGCACAAAGAAAAGTGTATACTCTATTATAAGAGTATAATCAATTACATGAAAGTATTGATTCATGTTACAATTAAGAGCAAGTTCTAGATTGGCTAGAAAATTTTGATTAAATAATCTAATTGAGTATTGTGTAAAAAAAAATTACTCTTAATTGTCAAATATGGTTGTTGGATTGATTTTGCTTGACTTGAGAAGAGTTGTGTAAGATTTTTTTTATTTTTTTTAATTTTTTTGTCTTCTAAAAAGGTCTCTAATAACCAATTTAAGTATAAAGAAAAGTGCATGTTATGTGGACACCAAAATTCTTGTGAGTTGACTTAGCTTATAGAGTACTGTTACGTATTTACGTGGTCTGTAGTACATGGTAAATGTACATAAAAATTAATCGTGATTGTTATGTTAGATATTGAACAAGGAAATTAAAGACCAAGAAACTCCTTACTCATCAACATCTGCAACGCATGGCAAAGAAAGAAGAGAGCAATCAGGGGCAGTGTAACAACTGTAGCACTCGCACACTGGTTTTCCATCAACAACCAGGCCATCTAAGAACGCCCTTCCATGTCCGGAACACGATATAGCCGCCACTTCCTCCGCCTCAATTGCCGCCTCTCGTGACCAACTTAGCTGAGTACTTAGACTACTTACTTCACCCCACTTTACATTCAAGTATAAACCACTAAACACAATATTTAGGATTATTGAGCAAAGCAATAAGCATACGTGCTTAGCCATGCATGAATGAGCACTTTTAACTTGAGAAAATGCTAGCTTCTTTTAATTGGTCTAAATATGGATAATTAGACCCTCATAATTGAAGATGAAATCAACACTCTACCCATTATTTTATATGCCAATCAAAATCAAATAAAGCAAGGTGGAGTTTTACAAATATAGATACAAAAGATTGATATTATTCACTTTTTTTAATACATAGACAAGATATATACAGTTGAAATGACATTAAAATCTTTATTGATCAATTAGCAATCATTAAGCACCCTATCTTATAATATTATACCTTTGGATTCCATAGAAAGTTTGACTAGGTTACTAAGGTCAATATTTATTTTATGTAATAATACTACATCAGCTTCTTATTATTTGCAACAATTAAATATTTAAATGTCTAATTAATACAAATAATATAAAACGGAGATAATATAAAAATTCAAGAATACCAATACATAGTCGATCACGTTAGGTGTATGTTACTCTTATTTTAAATTATCTTTGCTGATGCATAAAAGATAAGTTACCCAACAAAAGAACCTATAACCCCCAAATGCATTATTGTTTATTGCTTACCAACTAATCTCTACCATTTTGTCATTTAATAATATCAATAATGTCTTGTTCTAACGTGATTCACATGCATGAAACAATCAAGATCTTGGTTAATATATATAATTCCAAAAAAGAAATATGCCCATACAATCTGGTCGTAGATGAGTCAATGTAATTCTTCAAATAATGTGTATGTTACCAACCAATTCAATTTATTATTACAAACTCATATGGTTTTGGAATGATTTCGAAATTCAGTGGAAACCAATATTTGTAAGTTGTACAACAGAGAGTCGAATTCATCTTGGCTTCTTAGCAAGCTGAGGCATACAAAGCGGTCTCCAGCTCCGAATATTCGACCCCTACGACCGAGGATCGGGCTTGTTTTAGCACTTGATAACAATCTTCATCTTCTTCTCTTTCACACTTCAACCATGCATATGCTGCCATGGTCCAACACCATTCAGAATATAATCTACTTATAAAAATGTGTTCAAGTTTTAAATTTTGTGTACTTGTTAACTAGAACATTTAAAATACTTTCAGCTACTATCCAATTGCAACAAACCTTAAAGCCCCTATGTGTAAACATGTTAGATTAACAGATTTTGTTAGATTTAGGGCTTGTTCACTTCAGCTTAATTTCACTTCAGCTCAACTCCTAATTTCCTTCTCTCATAAAATATTCAGTTCAGCTCCAATAAGTTTAGTTCACTTCAGTTCACCTCAGCTTAGTAAATGTGAACAGACGCTTAGAATAGTATTTGATGTTATCTTGAAATAAATTCAGCTTTGATAATTAGATTCCTACCTTAAACAACAACTAGAGATGGTGAAATTATATATATACCATAGCGTTTAAACAATTACAAATACAACACTTATTTATAATTGTAACGGTTTAACTTTCATACTACGAGTATTTTATTCACTAACCTTGACCACATGTTTTGTTCATATATAAAAAAAAAAAAAAATTATTGGATTAAACTCCTTTTTTTTTCTCTTGAATATTAATATTTTTTATTATTACGCCTAATAAAACTAAAGATATTAATTAATATAGATGATAAAATTGTGCGATGACAAATATAAAAGTGAAATTGTTGTGATTTTAAGGAAATGAAGGAAGTATGTGGTGCAACGATCAAATAATATTACTTGGGGAAGACCCTCTAACTCGTTGATAGAACGAGCTGAATTGTGGAGGTATATGTTGTAGGGAGAAGCGCAATGAAGTAGACAAGATTGTGGTTAGTCCTTCCCATCTTTCCTTCATTATATTGTGTCCAAACTTAAAAATGTCACATCCTCCATCATCAACAATTACTTTCAAACTAGTCCAAGAAAAAAAACTCTCTCTCTAAATTGAGAGCTTATCTCTCTAGGAATCTAGAGCCTATCCACAGCCTTCTGCACCGTCTTCCACCATCCTCAACCCACACAATTATCAAGCATACTCACAGTCAGTTCGCTGCTTACGCACACCCGAGCTGGAGTTGCACGTCCTCAAGCCTTGGACTATAGGTGACTCGATAAGAGATATCAGTTTTAACGAGGCTTCTATATGGGTGCAACTTGATGAGGTACCTTTGAACTTATGTGAAATTGATATTGTTAAACCGATGCTTTCTTTGGCTGGGAATGTTCTCTGTATCGATAAACCCCCTCCAAGTTCAATCAATTGCTTGCTTCGAGTAAAGCTTCAAATTAATGTTTTTAGACCGCTGTTACAAGGCTTCTACTTGAACCTCGGAAACTCTTAAGTTTAAATGGATCAATATCAAATATGAGAATTTGTTTATATTGTGCTCTGGATGTAATAGAGTTGGTCATAGGAAGAATTCTTGTTTACTATCTTCCCATATGCCTACTCCTATGGTGGCTGATAACAATAGTAGGTGCAAGTCGACTTTGGGTCTTGACCATAATTTCTCCAATTCGAACATTGGCCTGAAAAAGGACTGAAAAATTCAGAACAACTAGAGTAAATCTTCGGAGTTTTTTTATGGACATTATCCCACCCCGATCCCAGAGGAGCCAATCAAAAAAGAGGCCCCTTCTTTTTGCTACTCCATCTTTATCCCCTTTGAAAAAGAGGAATTTGCACTCTGAATCCACAGCACATAATAACTCTCCTCCTGCAAAACTCAGTCATACACCAACCTCATCCAGTTTCTCACCGTCTAGAAAACCCCGTTCCAAATTTAAACCTAGGATGATTAATGCGTCATTTTCCTCAAAAAGATCACATCCTCTTAAACAGCCAAAGCCTCCTTTTTATAGATTAGCATGTTTTGGTCCAAAACCACGGAGGAGCGAAGAAAAGATGTGGGAATAGGATAAGCATCACGGATGTAAGAAACGTCCAAGTAGTGAGGTTGAACCGTTTACTCCACCTTTAATAAAGGGCAATAGATCTTTGAATCTCCACTTATTTAGGAATTTTGAAAAGATGAGGTTTGGGGTTAAGGATTTTTGGCCCTGTACAAAGTTTGCTTCAGCGCAGTATATTTCAACGGCACACTTAGGTGGGGAGGGTAGTATTTCTCCTTATTTGCAGTCTTAATCCTTTTAAAAAACGTAGAGGGTCTTCCAATCAACACCATGTGTGTAGTGTTTTAAGTTCAATTTCTGAGGGCTTGGTGGCTCCCCGGTCTGGGCCACCACCGTTTTCATGAATGTGATAGCCTGGAACTATAGGGGTCTTGGAGCAGCGGACTCCCCTAAAGTTCCGTACATTGCCTCTTTAGTCCGCTCTTATGGTGTTGATATTATGTTTTTAGTTGAAACTATAACTACTGTTACTGTTCTGTACAAAAGTTGTCCTCTTTAGCTTTTAGTGGGTTTTGTGGTATGGATGCTACTGGGCTTAGTGGGGGTTTAGTTGTTTTCTGGTTTGCTCCCCTTAAGGTAGTTCCTATTTCAGTTTCACCTAATGTAATCTTTTGTGAAATCCATGTTCCTTGTCAAGTAATAAAGAATGTAGTTTTTGTGTACAGATCGCCTCACTTTTCAAATCGTAGTTCTGTTTTGGAGGAGGTTTCTACTATTCTAAGGACAATTGACAATGTTGTTTTGTTAGGAGACTTTAATCAAGTTGAATACTTGACAGACAAAGTTGGTGGGTCGTTTAATATTCCTGGTTTTCAGGACTTTGTGGATTGGAAATTAAATGCGGAGTTCATGGATGTACCTTTTTCGGGTCCTCCTTATACTTGGACTAATGGCCAATTAGATAACCCGATTTTCGAGCGTCTTGACAAGGCCTATGCTTCTAGGAAATGGTTGGAGTCTTTTCCTGAGACTGAGCTTATCCATCAACCTATTTTATTCTCTGATCATGGGGCGATTATATTACGTGATAGTCCAGTTATTTCAACTAGGAAGCGTCCTTATAGGATTGAGAATTGGTGTTTGTTATTTCGGGAAGTTTCCTTGCTGATTGGTACCAATTGGCAAGCTAATGCCCAAGGGTCTAAGATATTTTTAATTTGTCGTCAATTAGATTATATTCGTCGTTTGTTATTGGCTTGGTGTGTTGCTCATAAGAAATCGCGGGGTATTGACTGGAGGAAGATAGAGACTTCTATTTTCTCTTTATCTAGTACTTTGACTACTGAGTCAGATCGTATGAGTTTTATTTCAGCAAGGAAGGAGGTTTTAGAACAAGCCCGAGTTGAATTTCTTTATTGGAAACAGCGAGCCAAGGTAAAATGGGATGCATTGGGTGAGGCTCCGACTCGGTTTTTGTTTGCTTCAGTGCAGGCTCGTAAACAACGCAATAAAATAATCAGCTTGAAAGATGATTGGGGTAATTGGGTATCGGATCCAGCTGGAATCTCGCAGAGGTTAACTGATCATTTCTCGAACCTTTACCAATGTTATGCCCCTTCCGCTGAATTTCTGGTCCTGGATTGGGAAGATTTAAAGCTTCCCACTCTTTCTTCCTCTGCTTGTCAGGAGCTTATGTTACCTTTTTCAGATATGGACATCAAAGATGCTATGTTCCATATTGGTGATGACAAATCTCCAGGTCCGGATGAGTATTCTGCAACCTTCTTTAAGACCCATTGGTTAGTGGTCGGTGCCTCAGTTATGGAGGCCATTCAATTCTTTTTGCCCACGGTTATCTCCTTAAGGAATGGAACCGTACCTTTTTTATTTTACTGCCGAAGGTGGATCACCCAGAGGTGCCTTCTCAGTTCCGTCCTATTGGTCTCTGCAATGTTCTTTATAAATGTATTGCTAAATGTTTAACGAATCGCCTTCGGAGATTTTTGCCTTCTTTGATTTCAGGATTTCAGAGTGCCTTTGTTCCTGGTAGGTTAATATCGGACAACAGTCTGCTTGCTCATGAACTTATTTCCTATATGAATTCCTCGGCGTCTAAACTCTGTTCAGCGGCACTTAAGTTAGACATGAATAAGGCTTATGATAGGGTTAATTGGGAATTCTTGTGGCAAGTTTTACGAGCTTTTGGTTTTCCTCCATATGTGGTTCATATAATTAAGCAATGTGTTACAAAGATTTCCTACCAGGTCTTGGTTAATGGTTGTCCGTCAAAGACTTTATTTCCTCGTTGCCGCC